GCTCCAGATGGATGGATAAGCCTTCAAATAATAACAGCTGGGCATGGTGGCACACGCCTTTGCCTTTAATTCCAGCACTTGGGAGGCAGAAGCAGGCAGCTCTTTGTGAGTTCAAGGCCAACCTGGTCTACATAGTGTGTTCCAGGCCAGCGGGGCTACAGGGAGACCCTGTGTCAAAAAGACCAAAAAAAAAAAAAACCCAAAACAAGAAACAAACAAAAAACCCAAACCAAAACCCAGTAACAGAGGACATGAAATCAGGTGGGGGCATAAGGGATTCTTAGAGAGGGAAGGGGAGGTCTGAATATGACCAAAATGCATTGTATGAAATCCTCAAAAACCATCTCCTTAGTCTCCTTGATCAGGACAGGTGACTCACCACAGTTACAGGACATTTTGAGAGATGCTTATAGTCCCCTGGAACTTAGTCAACCTAGGAGGGAAAGGAGCAAACTGTCCTTTATGTCCCTCGGTACAAATTAGTATAGGCCTCATAGTATGACTGTTAAACTGAACCTGAACTGGACCTGAACCAGTGTGCAGTCTACAAAAAGGAGGGTCAACACAGAGGAAACATTTCTTCCATGCTTCCAAGCGAAGCCAGCCATGGTCAAGTAGGACCTCTGACTTATCTTCACATAGAACAGGTAAAAGAAAAGAGCTAGGACCTCCTCCAAAGCCTATGTTACTCCTGAGGAACAGATCCTCAAATGACCTTAAGAGTAAAAATAGGGGCTGGAGAGATGACTCAACGGTTAAGAGCACTGACTGCTCTTGCAGAGGACCCAGGTTCAATCCCCAGCACCCACATGGCAGCTATGAACTGTCCTTAACTCCAGTTTCAGGGGAATCCGAAGCCCTCTTCTGACCTCTGTAGCATTGCACGACATGGGTGCACTCACATGCAGGCAATAACACTCATACACATAAAATAAAAATAAATTTTTTAAAGACTAAAAATAAATTGGTTTATCTGAGCCAATCGTAGGGTTTTAACACCCAAAAGGAAAGTATAACCAAAGATTAATAGGGTAAATATAATTTTTTAAGAGTCCATATGCATAGCTAAAAGCTACATAACAAGAAACAATGCCAGACAGGAGATACCTTCGAGTTATTGGCCAGGGTGGCCCAAAAGATTCCCAGACAGTAACCCAGCATAGAACTGGGAAATGAAGAGCAGACCCCCAATCTTATCTAAATGAATACTGACAACTGATTGCTGCTACATGAGGAACAGCTGATCTTCCTAAAACAAGGATCTCTAGTTAACTAGTCAGCAGATGGACAAGCACTGGGGAATGGCTGGGGTGCCAACAACACAATGGACAGTAACAGGGATGACAGAGTATATCGGCTCCAGTGTGTGGGAGGGGGGAGGCCATCTGGGAAGTGGGTATATAGATGAGCAAGATCATGTGAGATGTTCTGTATATATTATATACACACACCCCCAAAAAAAAATCAACAAATTAAAAAAAGACATATTTGAGGAAGAAGCATAAAAATGTACTTCATGTTAAATAGTAGAGGTAATAAACATTATCAGTGAAATCTACCTGATGACTTTATATCCATACTCAGGTACTAAGGATCCGAGTGTAACCAACTCTGACTAGTAATCATACATGGAGATTAAAGACACTTGTGCAAACATCCAAGTGTTAGTAGTATTAAAATGTAGGAAACAGCATATTTTAAAATGAAATGGAGATCTTCTTTAAAGGGTAAAAAGTCATTCAATTTTATGTCTTACAGGGCTTATACCAAATTCAATGTTGTATAACTATATTAATTCAACTGTGAACCTAAAAATTTACAGCCACTTTTGAAAGATATGTATCCTTACTTTGGAATGTGTTACTGAATATGTTAAAGCTATAATGAAATGCTTCTTCTAATCATGTGGTTATTAAATTTAAAAAAAATTTTAAAAACCAAATAAAAATATTTTTTAAAAAGCCTAAAAGTAGGGATAGAGAGATGGCTCAGCAGTTAATAGCACTGGCTGTTCTTGCGTAGGACCAAAGTTCAGTTCCCATCACCCGCATGGCAACTAACAATCATCAGTAACTCCAGTTCCAAGTGACCTGGCACTCTTCTGGCCTTTGTGGGTAATGTACTAACATGGAGGCACTTTCATACATGCAGGTAAAATACTCATAAAATTTTTAAAGCCTAAAAATGGCATAAATTGAATAAACTGTACAGAAACAAGAAAACATACATTAAAAGTCTTAAAGGACAAGGAAACTGAATGGCAACAGGAGAAACATAAATCAGATTAGGAATAAAATTGGGATAACCTGGAATTTTAATGAAAACAACCTAAAGAAACCAGGATCCAAAGAACTATAAGATTTTTAAAAATCCTATATTGTATATGTGGCACTTATCCATTCTATAGTGTCCCTGTAGAAGTCAGAGGACAACCTGTGGGAGTCAGCTCTCTCCTACCATGTGGATCCAGGAATCCAACTTGGGTTGTCAGTGTAGTCAGTGTGTTTCCCAGCTGAGTCATCTACTGGTCCTGTGTTTTTTGAAACAGGGTTTCATGTACCCAGGTTGTTTTCTCACTGTATAGCCAAGGAGATGATGACCTTGAACTCTTGATCCTCCTGCCTTGACCTACCTAGTACTAGGATTGGAGAGAGTGCCATACTGTTAGGTTTAGAGCTTCCTGTATGCCAGGCATACATTCTACAAACAGCTATAATCATTCCAGCCCTTAAAAAAGTTAATTCTAAGTGCACATCATATAGGATGCATGGAATGTAGATGTCTAAATTAATGGGAGGTTCAAAATCCATGTGACATGGAAAGAGTTGAAATTGAGAATACAGGATAAATTAAAATTGAAGAAAGGATGAAGTAGGTACAACTGTAGAGGATAAGACTTATCCTAAGACAAAACTTGAAGGAGCTTTACTGTTTTTTAAAAATTAAGTTTGGGGCTCAACAGTTAAGAGCACTCACTGGCTGCTCTTAAAGAGGACCCAGATTTGATTCCCAGCACCTACATGGTGGCTAACAACTGTCCATAACTCCAGTTCCAGGAGATCAGATACTCTCCATGAGCATGCACACATGTGGAACACACATATACACACAGAAAAACACTCATGCACATAAAAATAAATTTAAAAAATTAAGTTTGGTGGGGGCTACTATTTTTTACCTATGTAGTTATAGGTCAGTCTTATGTTTAAGGTCACATTAACTAGTAAATAGCTCAACCAAACTTTGAACTGAGCAGGTTCAAAGCTTAACTATTTGTTACCACCTCTTAAAAATGGAAAGTGTTGCTGGGTGTCGTGGTGCACACTGTTAATTCCAGCACTCGGGAGGCAGAGACAGGCAGATCTCTGTGAGTTCAGGCCAGCCTGGTCTACATAGCAAGTTCCAGGCCAGCTGTGGCTACAGGGAGACCGTGTCTCAAAGACAAAAAAAAAAAAAAAAAAAAAAAAAAGTAAAGTGTTGGTGAGTTGGCTTCTCAAGTAAAGGTGCTTGCCTCTAAGCCTGACAGCCTAAGTTTGATCCCTGGGACCCACAAGGTGAGAGAACCAACTCCTATAGTTGTCTTCTGACCTGCACACCTGTGCTGTGGTGAGCATGCACCCATGCACGCAATAAATAAAATTAAAAAAAAACAGAAAAAATGTTTCAGAATTGTTTGGGGGGATGCTTTACATCAACATCTTCTATTTTAAGTGTATTGTAAACCTAATTTTAGGATCCCATTTCTCTGGTTTCTCAGTGGCAGATGATGAGGAAAAGTGTAACTTGGAATCCAGTGATGGGCTTCAAAGACTAAGATTCTCATTTATGCATGGTTCACAATTATGTACCCATTTCTCTGAGGAGGGGTGCTATGTTTTCTTTCATCAAACTCAGAGATCCTTGACCAAATTGAGCTCCACTCTAGAGAATACAGCTATCACTTATTAAAGCTACATATGATAGACAGTTTCTAAAATCGGGGTGGGAGGGGTTGACACAGGGTGTCCTGTAGTTTCAGCTGCCCTGGAACTTGCTATGTAGACCAGGCTGGCCTCAATCTCAGAGAGATCTACCTGCCTTTCTATATGGCACCGCATTTGGCTAGGGATATTGTTTTTTGGTACAGAATCCTACAATGTTATCTTGGGCTAGCCTGAAATTCATCTATGTATGTTGAAGTTGTCCCAGCCTCCTAAAGATTGGGATTACAGGTGCATGCCACCATGTCTGGCTTGTTCTAAGAGCTTTATTGGATTACTGCCCTATGCATTGCAATTTTATGAAGAGTCATTGATCCCCACTTACAGATAAGGAAACCAAGGCAGAGAAATAGATATACATCACTCCAGTCAGCAAGGGAAAAAGGGGGGAATCCAGACAGTTTGGTGCTTTAGTGCTCACTCTAATCAACTATACCTTGAGTATTGTGTATCAGCATCCTTCAAAGTATTCCTTTAGACAGAGAAGTTATCAAAAAATTTAAAATGGGTGGTGGTGTACATCTCTAATCTCAGCACTAGGGAGGCAAAGGCAGGCAGATTTCTGTTAGTCTGAGGTCAGCCTAGTCTACATAGTGAGTTCTAGGTCACCTGGAGCTACAGGGAGACCATCTTAAAAAACCAAAACAAAAATAAATAACTGTAAATGCTTTAAGACAGACACTTTAGGTACAGTACAATCTGCTGTTCTCTACCTTCTTACTTTTTACATTCAGCAACTTCACCTGACAATCCATTCTAACATGGAGCATTTCTATGGCACAGGGCCTAGCTGAGTCTTGCTTTACCTAAATGTTGTCTTCTTCATCCTTTGAAAATTTCTGTGCTAGCTGCATCTTCTTCGGTAAGGGAACTGTAATTCTTACTCAGAATCATTTAGTTAATAGTGTGTGAATGGGACAAGTAACGATTAAAATGGACTCACAACAAATCATAGAAACTCCTGTAAATAATATTTCTAATCAAAACTGGAAAAGAGCTAACCACAGCTTTCTATTAGAATGCTTGATTTATGGACATTTGCTTTATTCAATTTGTTAAACAAAAGCTGATGAAATTATTGCCCCCCAAATAAGTCATAGATACAGGTTACCTATTTGAAAGAACAATGCCATTAGTCACAAAATTTAACTGTAAGAATCAAACAGTGGTTATTGGTCAAACCAATCTACTTTGATAGCTCTGAAGTATGCAGATGCTAGTGTTTGAGTAAAGATCACAAATACAAATTCAATTTTCATGACACTATTCAGTAGCTACATAAACTTGATTCTGGACACAAGGCAAAGAGAATGACAGTGCAAATCATCAATAATTAAACCGAAGGCATAATTTTCCAAATGGCTTTTAGTAACAAATTCTAAATTTTTTTTTTTTTTTTTTGGTCTTTTTGAGACAGGGTCTCCCTGTAGCCCTAGCTGGCCTGGATTCGCTATGGAGACCAGGCTGACCTCGAACTCACAGAGATCCGCCTTCCTCTGCCTCCCGAGTGCTGGGATTAAAGGCGTGCGCCACCACACCCGGCCAAATTCTAAATTTTTAAATGTCTAAAACTACACAAAATTCAAAGCAATCTACCTGAGATAAAACAATGTTCTTTTTTCCTATCTAAGCATAATTCTTAGTATTGAGGTAAATCTGATTTCACATGATACACTTTATCAAACTTTCCCCCCAAATTTTAAAGCCTGTTTTAGTGAAGAATTCTCATGTTTCATGTATATATTTATATACTTTAAAGGCAAGACAAATTTATGGGGCTAATAGGCCTGTAATGGGACCATGATACTACTAATATGAAAATAAAAGGTATTCATTTATACAGTGTTCTTGAATGTGCGGTATAAAATGGGATCACAGAATCTATATACATACATTAATCACTAGTTCAGAAATTAAGCTCACCTTAAGAACACTCAATTCTATTCTTTTTGGAGCAGAAGATCAGAATAGTGATGTGTAACAAAAACCAGTGATGTATAATTATGTATAAAAGCTCCAAAACCAAGTATTAGCCTTAAGTGGCAAAAACTGCAACTTAAAAATTAAAAGTAGATCTTCACTGTAGTTAGGCAACCTTTTTTTTTTCTGGGTGGCCTCTGGGTTTTTACTGAGTCAACTACCTCATCTCTTGCTCCTTCCTCTTGTCCTTAACCATAAAACCCAAATTAACCAAAAAAACAAAACAAAGCCACTTATACAGCCACTTCCTTCATGACTGTCTTTGGCAATGCTCTGGAATCCTGAAAGCAAAAGAACCTCAGTGAGTGAAGAGGATGAAGACGCTATGTGTGATCACAGAAACCAATCTAAGAATACAACTAAGAGAGAAAATACTGTAAGGAAGACTCAACAGTAGCCTACCCTCAAAACCCACAGAAGTAAAAAAAAGTAGGAAGGCTGTTACTCCTCTGGTCCTTCTTTCATATTATCTCCAGTTAGAAGACTGTGGGACCAGAACTTGGAACTCTGAAAGGTAATGACTCAGGAGGAGACGCTAGAGAGCCGAGTAAATGATAAAGTACAGCAGGAGCTTTAGCTGTCAATGAGTTTCTTTGCTCTTGTATTAGCAATGTCAATACGATCCTTGTTGGTGTCAGCCTGAAAAACAGAAAAAGATAACAGCATTATTTCACAAAATATGCCATTCTCACAAAAGTTAAATTTGAGGGGTGTAGCTCAGTTGGTAGAGTACCTGCCTAGCATGCACAGGGCCTGGGATCCAATCCAAAGCATTGCATAAACCAGGCATTGTGGCGAATGCTTATAATTGTAGCACTTGGGAGGTGGAGGCAATAGGAGTGAGTCTGAGACCAGTCTGACTACAAAAACCCTGTCTCAAATTCAAAACAGTAAATTTTGGCTAAGCATATAGGTCAGTTGTAAAGTATGTGATTTGCAATCCTACAGATTTACATTTAATCCAACATATGCACGCATCCACACACTGTTTTATACTCTTGGGACTTGGACAGGGAGCACATATCTGTAATCTCAGCACTCGAGAGGATATGGCAAGAATATGAGTTCAAGGCCAGCCTGGGTTACATAGTAAAATTGTCTCAAAACAACAATAAAAAAGGAGGCAGGGGATATAACCAGTTGTAGAGCACTTGCCTTCCATGTATGAGGCCCTGGGTTCAATCACCAGTTAACACACACACACACACACACACACACACACACACACACACACACAAAGGGGGGGAATTTTATACACTTGAAGTCATATTATAAAATTCATTGTGGGTGAGAGAATATGAATTTTGAGAACCTTAGTGTATAAATTTGACAAAGGTATAACAGAAGAATTCCTGCCAGTGGTTTATTAAGGTTATAGTGTATTTTTGATAGTTTAACATGTTGGAAATTGGGATGTATCATATGGTCAACAGGCTATTTTGTATTTATTTTTATTTTGTGTCTGTGCTTGTGTATTTGAATGGCTGTGGAAGACAGAGGTCAAGGTCAGGTGTCTTTCTCTATGGATTCCCACCTTATTTTTTGAACATGTAGCACACTGTTTTGGCTAGGCTGACCAGTTAGCTCCAGGTATTCAGCCTATCTATTCCCCCATCTCTGGGGTTACAGACACAAAATACCATGCCCGGCTTTTACATAGGTGCTTGGGATCTGAACTTAGGTTCTCAGGCTTGCATGGCAGGTACTTTACCAACTCTGTCATCTCCCCATTTATGTATTTATTTTTGAGACTAGATCTTATTGCCTAGGCTGGCCTTGAGCTCCTGAGTTCAAGTGATTCTCTCAACCTCATCCTTGGGAGTAGCTGGAATTCCAGACATGCAACATCATGTCTGGCTCATTTCTGAAGCAATGAAGTATGGTAAGAATGTTCTCTGAGCCACAAAATCTCATTTGGAACTACTTTAGGTTTGACCAAGAGAGACTGAAACAGCCTTCCCGGAGATCTTTGGAACAGACATATTGCCACCCATAGCAATATCTAAATTAAAATGATGGGTAATATGTAGCCTGAGCCCAGACTATAGCCCTGAAAGCACCTTAGGAGCCATCCTTTGCTTCACTGATAATCCACTGTAAGTGGCTTGGGAGCCAAGCTTAAAATTTATCTCATCCTGGGCTGGAGAGATGGCTCAGTGGTTAAGAACACTGGTTCTACTTGCAGAAGACCTGGGTTCGAATCCCAGAACCCACATGGCAGCTAACAACTGTCCATAACTCCAGTTCCAGGAGATCGACAGCTTCTTCTGTCCTCTGTGGCCATTGCATGATATAGGTGCACTTACCTACATGCAGGCAATACATGCATACACAATAAAATAAATAAAATAAAATAAAATAAATAAAACAAAATAAAATAATAAAATAAAATAAAACTTATACCATCCTCTTAAGTACAAAGAGACTGTAATTAAGTATGGTTTTTAAATCTGACTAATGAAAACATTTAAAGGATTTTCATTCAGTATTTTTTTTACTTGTGTAAAGTGGAAAGAAGGAAGGAAGGGGGGGAGGGAGGGAGGGAGAAAAAGAGAAAAAAGGAGAATCCCTTGGGAGGTAAGGGAGGGAGGGAGAAAAAGAGAAAAAAGGAGAATCCCTTGGGAGGTAAGGAAAGGAGGATCAGGCATTTAAGACTAGCTAGGAAGTTCAAGGTCAACCCAGGCTACATGAGACGCTGTCTCAAACCAGCAAGAAAAACATCCCAAATTTCCTTTATTCACAAGCTATTTGTATGTGTACTCCACAAGAACCATCTGTAGTCTGATTCTTGCTACTGACTCCTTCCTGAGATGAGGAGTCAGAACTTAGTAAACAAAACTAAAAGCTAACATACATTGGGGGGGGCGGGGGGGGGGGGGGACGACAAAAATGCAACTCAAAGAATAAACTAGAATATACTCAGGATGCCTAAAAAAATTTTTTTAGTTCGGGCATGGTGGTGCACGCCTTTAATCCCAGTGAGGCAGAAGGATCTTTGTGAGTTCCAGACAAGCCTGGTCTACATAGCGAGTTCCAGGACAGCTGGGGCAACAGGGAGACCCTGTCTCAAAAAGACAAAAAAAAATTTTTTTATATTTACTATTTTTATTTTGTGTGTATGCATGTATTGCCTGCATGTGATTAAGTGCACCTGTGCTGTGCAATGCCTGAGGACAGAAGAGGCTGCCGGATCCCCTGGGACTGGAATTACGGATAGTTGTTAGCCGTCATGTGGGTGCTGGGATTCAAACCTGGGTCTTCTGCAAGAACAGCCAGTGTTGTTAACCGCTGAGCCATCTCACCAGTCCTGACATTTAAATTTTTTTTGTTGGGGCTCAAGGGATGACTCAGGGGTTAAGAGCACTGGCTGCTCTTGCAGAGGACCCAAGTTCAATTCCCAGCACCCACATGGTGGCTAACAGCCATCTGTAACTCCTATTCTAGGGACATCTAATGCCCTCTTCTGACCTTTGTGGGCATTGCATGACATGGATACACTTATACACATACAGGCAATATTCACATAATAAAAAAAATTTTGTTGTTAAATATCATTACTGTGTGTGTGTGTGTGTGTGTGTGTTTGTGTGTGTAATTGGTTCTCTCCTACCATGTGGTTCCAGGGTGTGTGTGTGTGTGTGTGTGTGTGTGTGTGTGTGTGTGTGTGTATGTGTGTGTACATGTGCATGTGGAATACATTTTCTCCTATCATGTGGGTTCCAGGGATCAAATTCAGGTTGTCAGGCCTGTACCCACTGAGCCATCTCACTAGCCCTACTCAGTACATTCTAAACTTTGTATGTGTGAAGGTTTAAGTAAAACTTCATCCCAAGGCTGTGCCTTCACAACGAACCAACTGCCATAAACAAAATGGTAAGATTAGGCTTCTGTTTTTCTTTCTTTTTTTTTTAGGCTTCTGTTTTTCAAAGTGTTAGAATTACCACCTCATCAAAATTGTCCCCAAAATCTAAGATTTATTCTGTTATGCTCTCCCAAAATGTTTAGCACAGATACCCAATACTAAAACTATTACTGGATTGGCTATGTCATTTTCTTGTGGCCATAAAAGGCTTCTTGTTTTGTTTTTTACCTTTTCTGTGATTCTCTGTATTTGTTGGTTTTGAGCATCAATTTCATTGCCCATGTCCAAAGCCATGTTCTTCAGGTTTCCCAGGATACTGCCCACTTGAGTCAAGTTTTCTTCCATCTCATCTTCTCTGGCATCATTAGTTATACTATCACATGAAAAAAAAAAAAAAAAAAAAAAAAAAAAGAAAAAGAAGTTAATTCAGAACTTTTTGTTGAGTTACAATGGACAAAATCTGGAATTGTTATAAAAATAAGTAATCAAAATGATGCTCAAAGGTGAATGAAATGTAGGCTATTTTGGGGAAATACTCCACAGTTCAAAAAAGAAAAGGAGGAAGGTGAGGGAGAGGAGAGGAAGAAGGGGGGGGGGAGGAATTGAGATGGCTCATCAGGCAAAAGTGTTTGCCACACAAGCCTGGTGACCTGAGTCAATCCCTGGAACCCATGAGGAGGTAGAAGGAGAAAACTCTCTACAACACTGTCCTCTGACCTCCACAAGAACACTATAGTATGCATGTGTGCCTGTGTGCACACACACACATACCCACATAAAATAAATCCTGTTTTAAAGTCAAAAAAAAAAAAGAACAAAAGAAAAAAGAAAATAACAAAACTAAACCTTAACAACAACAACAAACACAGGAAAGGCTGATCAAGGACAACACAAAAGCCATGTAGATGATGTCCCCAATCTCACAGAGATCTGCCTGACTCTGCCTCTGGATTGAAGATGTATACCACTAAACCTGGCTTTATTTACATTTTTTTCCCTAAGTCTGAGTCTTACTTTGTAGCTCATGGTGGCCTAGAACTATAGTCTAGGCTGTCCTTGAACATGACAATCCTCTTGACTCAGCCTCTCAAGTACTAGGATTACCAGGGGGCAGCTTGTTTTGTTTTGGTTTTATCAGATGGAGTCTAGTACTATGCTGCCTGGGTTGGCTTCTAGCACCTGGGCTCAATCATCTTATCTCAGCCTCCAAGAAAACTAGGGTCCAAGAACCAAATCTGGTCTGTCAACAGTTTTTGTAAATAAAGTTTTATCCATATATAGCTAAGCTTATTTGTTGACATATTGTTTCTGGCTGGTACTCCCTACAACAGGAGAGTTGTGTGATCGAAACAGACTATATATAGCCTGAAAAGTATAAGATATTTACTAGCTGGACCTCTAAAACTGTTAAAAGGAATCTAGCCAACCTCTGCGTTACATATTTTTTAAGCATTTTCCCCATTTATAAAACTCATTTGAAAGTACTGAAAAATAAAAGGGTATGGTGGCCCACACCTGTAATCCTAGCATTCAAGAGACTGAGGCAATAGGCTTAAGACCAGCATGAATTATATAGCAAGTTCCAGACCTGTTGGGCTACACAGTGAAACCTTGTGAAAAGAGAGGAATGAGGGAGGAAGGGAGGAAATAAAATAAGGAAAGGAAGGGATGGAAGGAAAAGAGGAACAAGAAGGGCAAGAGAGGGAGGAAGATTGAGATTATTTCTACTCATTCAGTTAGGGCTCATATGTAGCTATACCCAATGTCTGAAATGAGCCACTCATTAGGAAAGGTGTAGAAATACAAGGAAGAGTTGGCATACTGTTTAATGTATCCACCGCTGGTTGCCCCTGTGGCTTGCTGAGGCTGGCCATTTGTTACCCGGCCTGGTTGCTTAGATACTACATTGCTTGGTGAGTTGTCGCCACCATCGCCCCATGTTGCCTTATAGCCCTTTCCAGACTCGAAGTTCTTCGTCCTATGTAAATGCCAGGAATATGGACAAACAAAAAACAGGAGAGGGGAGTTAAATTATTAGTGCTTGGTACTTGAATATAACCCTATTACCTTTAGCAGAGAAGCTGCATACAGCTAAAACTAGATTATCTATACTATTCCTCAAGGCAATATAGGAAAAAAAAAGATGAATTAAGACAAACACACCAATGCTAGATCATTTTTTATAAGTCCAAATACTACTACTACTACCAAATTTTCCCTAAGCTAAGCAAGTGGAAAAATGAAATTATTTAATATTTTAGGTCTCTCAGCTTGTAGCATTTACCAGAAAAAAAGATTAACAAATCCTAGAACACCTTAGAAAAGATGTTCTGGGATGCCTGAAGAGATTCCTTAGAGGAACTGCAGAGGCTGATGTGGATGAAAGAGTAAGAAGAGTGGGAAATAGTTGTGTCATTTTGCCCCAGAGTAGTTCTGGATGTTGTTTTGTTGCTTTCATTTGTGGGGTGTTTTTTTTTCTGGGGGGGGGAGCTTTTTTAGACCAGGCTGGCTTTGATCTCACAGAGATCTACCTGGCACTACCTCCTGAGTGCTGGGATTAAAGCCGTAAGCCACCATGCCCAGTGTGGTACTTAATTTTTTTTTTTTTTTAACAAGAATCATAGTCTTCATAAATCTTACAAAATTCAAAATTGAGGGGGAGATAAGCATAACATACAATTAATTAAACAGTTTAATGTCTATGAAAACTTAAGGTTAGCTCTACTAATTAACATGAAATTATAGCAAGTTAACATATGATATACCAGGAATTACAGAGCAAATTAAAACATGTAAATTGGAAAACTCTTACTACATTTATATCCCATCTTATTCTAAACAGGATTTAAGATGACTAGATAGGCAACTAATTCTTTGTTTTGACCATGGGAAATTAAAATCAGGAGAAACAATGCTTTGATAGAAGAAGTCTTCAGAAAGTATAAGGAATTTTAATGAAGATGCTGAAATCAAATTCCTATGAACAAAGAGATACTTTTAGCCTGAATTCTCTTACCTCTGATAAGAACTAGACTGTAGGCACTGTCTACAAAAATCAACAATTTAAAACAGGAAATTTCAGGAGACTTTTTTACTTTAGTAATAATGTTATTTAGCAAAACCTCAGTTTTTAGGCCATTAGTCTAGGAGAGTTATTGAAAATTAAGATTCTTTCATCAGGCCGGGCGTGGTAGCTCACGCCTTTAATCCCCACACTCGGGAGGCAGAGGCAGGCAGATCCCTGTGAGTTCAAGGCCAGCCTGGTCTACATAGTGAGTTCCAGGACAGCTGGGGCTACAGGGAGACCCTGTCTCAAAAAGAAAAAAAAAAAAAAAAAAAGATTCTTTCGTCAAGTGCATCTTTTGTTAGACAGCATTCATCAACAACAAAGTCACTTCACATTATATACCATAGCACTGATCCTAAGACAGTTTCTGTCACTCACAAAATCCATGCACATGCACAGAAAAGCATTTGAAGCATCACCTTTAGACAGCAGGTTAGCAGCCCAACTGCACAAGACTGCATCTTAAAGCTCCGTTTCATCAGTTATGAGCCCGGCTTCTGATGTTAATCTTCATTTTTAGTAAGTAGATTAGAAAGGAAGAGATTAAGTGAGAGAATGAAATGCAGAAAATAGTAAATGCCATTCAAACAGAACAGGAGCAGGTTTAGAGTTTTAAACACATAATGCATTCCTGCCTGGATTCATAGAAACAACCAACATCTGAGAATCTAGATAAAAAGAAAAACAAGAAAACTAAACCATTGCACATTTCATTTTCCCTGAGTGTGTTTAGGTGATAATAATGCCTAAAATTCTAACAATTATTATGACCAGGAAAATACTAACAGGCACCACCGTGAAACTTCCTGTCTCTCCTTAGTGATTACAGATGTCTTCTGTTATATTTAATTTTCATTGTAATTTTTAAAAAATTGTTTTACATGTCTAACTCACCCATCAGCCTATTTCTCAGGATAGTCAATCCACAAGGGTTTTTTCTTTTCTTTTCTTTTTCTTTGTCTAACAGGGTCTCCTTGTAGTCCCAGCTGTCCTTGAATTCACTATGTAGACCCGGGCTGGCCTCAAACTCACAAAGATCTACCTGCCTCTGCCTCCCAAGTGCTGGGATTAAAGGCATGCACCACCACGCCTGGCTTAAAAATATACTTTATTTATCTATTTGCATTTTATGTGTATGAATGTATTGCTTGCATGTAGGTAAGGGCACCCGTGCCCTGCAACGCCTGTGGAGGTCAGAAGAGAGCATTGGATTCCCCTGGAACTGGAGTTACAGATGCTTGTTAAGTTGCCATGTGGGTGTTGGGAATCAAACCCGGGTCCTCTGCAAGAATAGCCAGTGCTCCTAACTGCTGAGCCATCTCTCCAGTCCCTCAAGCCACAAGTTTTCAGAGCTGTTTTCCTGTTTGTTCGTTCTGAGGCAGAGTCTTGCTATATAGCCTGAATTGTTTGGAACTTGCTAGGGAAACCAGGCCTGCTTCAACCCTGCAGCAATCCTCCTGCTTTTGCCTTCCAAATGCTGGGATTACAGACATGAACCACAAAACCCAGCACCCCAGAGCTCATTTTTTTATATCTCAATACTATCTACGAAGGAATAACAGAAAACTTAAAAGCATCAATTCTGAAATTCTCTAGCAAGTGGTTCAGAAATACTAATCTGTCTTCAAACTCCGTACCATTATGCTAAATCCTTAGAAGAGCTTTATAAGACAGGCAAATTAAGAAAATGCCCTAAAAATGACTAAGCTGGAACATCAAGCAGCTAACTACTTTGAGACTCTCTACAGACTCTCTTCTTCTTTTTACAGGGTATTTCAGATTTCTTAAGATTTCTGAATGGTAAATAAACACTGGAAAGGGGCTGGAGTGATGGCTCAGTGGTTAAGAGCAATGACTGCTCTTGCAGAGGATCTGGGTTCGATTCCCAGCACCCACATGGCTGCTACAAACCGTCCTTAACTCCCGTTCCAGGGGTATCCGAAGCCCTCTTCTGACATCCGCAGCATTGCACAACACGGATGCACTCACATATATGCAGGCAATACACTCATACACATAAAATAAAAAATAATAAAATATTAAAAAAAGACTGGACAAGAGAAAAAGGGAGACAGAGGAAGTGGAAAAGGGAGGAAAGGAATGGAGAGAGGATATGAAAATATGAATCTAAGTTGTTATTACCACCAGTTTATTAGTATTATTAGATTAATTGTAGGCTTACACAGAGAGGACTGAGATCCTGTGCCTGCCTTTGAGGAGCTTATATTATGGCTGGGTTTTTTTTTGTTTTTTTTTGGTATTTTTTGAGACAGGGTCTCCTCATAGCCCCAGATGTCCTGGAACTCACTATGTAGACCAGGCTGGCCTCGAACTCACAAAGATCTGCCTGCCTCTGCCTCCCAAATGCTGGGATTAAAGGCATGTGCCACCAAGCCCGACCTATATTATGGCTGTTTTTATGTTGAGTGAAACACAGATTAGCAGATAAGACATTGGAGGAAACAGGAGAGCAAACAGCTGACAAGTGACATCATAGTAGCCAAGGTCTCAGTGGTATAAAGAAATAAGAAGAGAGGCTACCAGACAGCTTTAATCTGGGCTATAACTCTCTCCTCTTCTGTCACAGCAATTCCTTGATTCCATGTGTTAAGAAATGCCGAGAAAGAATTCTGCTGATGTCAGAGGTAAAAGCCTGGTTTAGAACCACACTCTACCTTATCTCCCCCATGCCCAAGAACAGCTTGCCTATGCATGGCTGGGATATACAAGACAAATAAAATTAGTACACTTGTAGCTGCATCTCCCATGTTCTATCACCTCTGGCCAGTTTGGGTTTCATGTTACTCCTTTTATTATTAACCCCTGACTTAGAGCTGTCTTATGCTAGACTAAAGAGGATGCTTTTTCTTTGCTCATTTTCTAACATCTGACTCTGAGGAAAACTATCTATTTTCTCTTCCCTCATTCTTCCAAGATGGTACCTGGAACAAAGGAAAAAGGCATAGCAAGTTTATAAAACACAACTAAGAATTTTTATCAGGTTATATACTTATAACTTGCTTGCTTAAAGTAATTTGCTAAATCCTGACTGACAAATCATAGGGATTTTGTTGTTGTTGTTGTTGTTGCAATTGTTATGCTTTTGTTGTTATTGGGTTTTGTAGCCCAGTGTGACTTTGTATTCACTGTGTAGCCAAGGATGACCTTCAATTTATGATCCTCCAATCTCCAATTCACAAGTGCTAGGATTAGAGCCATGTGCCAACCTGTCCAGTTTTATGCAGTGTTGGAACTCAAACCCAGGGCTTCATGCATGCTAGGCAAGCATAATCACTCTATCAACTGAGCTACTCCCAGTCCCAGTCATACTTATTAAATATGGAATTTCAGAAAGTCAATCAAATCTAAACAGGTCAATAGGCCTGTGTTAGTGCACAAAGTTGAGAAGAACACTGTCAAATCGGTTAAAACTCAAGAGGCAGAGGCAGGTGGAACTCTGAGATCTAGGCCAGCCTGGTCTATAGAGAGTTCCAGGCCTGCCTGATCTACATAGAGAGTTCCAGGCTAGCTGGTGCTACAGGAAGACCCTATCTCAAAAACTCCAAACTTCCTCTATTCCTAACTTTTCTGAAGGATAAAAATGATGGGACTTGAAACTTTGCAGGTTATTCTTGGTTTAGAGACCACCTGCGACAACTAGATAGAAGCACTAATGCTAATGAAGCTCTTTAAAAATGAGTACTTTCAGCAATAATAACTCAATTTCCCGACATACTCATTTCAACCAAGACTAAAGTTCAAAGATGAGTGCTTCTGAGGAAGATAATGGTTAACTGCTTTAGTCCAAACTTCATCTTGGTTTGAATATGTAATATTTGCCAAAGAAGAGAATGAAATATTCACAATAGATTAAAACAAGAGTGAAGTCCTTTGTGCCCAGCACAATCTCATACACTGTACTATATACATGGTCTGAAAACCTTTCTTCGACATTACTAGAGACTTCATGCAGTGGCTAGTTTTAAACGTCAACTTGCCACAACTTAAGACTCACCTGAGAAAAGAGTATCAAAGAGTCTCAATTGTCTAGATCAAGTTGACCTGTGGGGGACTGTCTTGATTGTTAAATGATATAGGAAAACCAAGCCCACTGTGGGCAGCACTATGCCCTAGGGGGTCCTGAACTATGTAAGGCAGGAGAAAGCTAGCTGGAGAGCAAGTGGCAGCACATAGTGTTCATTTCTCCCATATCTTAGAAGTGATGTGACTAGTTCCTTTGAGTTCCTGCCTTGACTTTCCCTCAGCAATAGTCTACAACCTGGAACTGTAAGCCAAATAAACGCTTTTATCCCCTAAGTTGCTTTTCGTCAGGGTGTTTTATCACAGCAACAGAAATGAAAACACTCCAGATCATCAGTTTTCTCGGATCTTTCTCTCTTCATGCTTCCTGATTTAAAGGGAATTCCCATTGTTTATAAGTTCTTTAATTTCACTGATAAAGTCTAACCTCACAGGACCAGATCATAAATGTTTTTTAATTAGTTTCTGGTGTAGTCACCCACGCCACCCCAATCTATCAGCTCCTTAGTCTGGCATCTAAGTTCCTCTACTACCTACATAAATCTTACTGGCTAATTCTCTGCATGAATCATGCAGCTCAGTTAAATCAGATGCTAGCTGTTCACTTTCAGTCTTCTACCAGAAATGCTTCCTTTTCCTTTTATGTTTCTTTTGTTTGTTTGTTTTTGTTTCTTTGTTTTCTTTTTTGTTGTTGTTGTTGGTCTCCATAGCCCCAACCTGCCTAGAACTCAGTATGTGGACCAGGTTGACCTGGATCTCACAGAAATCTGCCTGCCCTGAGTACTGGGATTAAAGGCGTTAGCTACCACTACCATGCCTGGTGTTTTTGGTTTTTTTCCCTCTCCTTTGTTTTCTGATACTAGGAAATTGCACCATGACCTCCAATTTAGCCACACCTCCAGACCCTTTCCCCTTCCCTGTTCAGATAAATCCTTTTAGTAACAAAGTCCAATTCATGTCCTAACTCTTTTGTAATATACGACTGGGCTGGAGAGATGGCTCAGCAGTTAAGAGCACTGGCTGCTCTTGCAGAAGACCTGGGTTAGAATTCCAGCACTCACATGGTGGCTAACAACCATCCTTAACTCCAGTTCCAAGGGATCTGGTATACCCTGCACGACATGGGTGCACTTACATACATGCAGGCATAACACTCAATCATATAAAAAAAAAAAAGATACTGCTGAACCTAACCTTATCAGTTTTCACCCCTAGCCTTAGTGTATACCACATAACCTAACACCAGGGTTGGTTTTTGTTTTTGTTTTTTTTGGCCCTGCTATTCTTTCTCATATATACAGCTACATAGTAAGTCTTTTGAAGAAGTCCAAGTTCTTTTTTTTTTTTTTTTGTCTTTTTGAGACAGAGTCTCCCTGTGGCCCCAGCTGCCCTAAAAACTCACAATCTCACAATGCAGACCAGGCTGGCTTTGAACTCAGAGATCCACCTACCTCTGCTTCCCAAGTGCTGGGATGAAAGGCACGACCTACCACGCCTGGCAGAAGTGCAAGTTCTTTACTCCCTTGGACATCTCTCATGCATCTAATTCAAGATATGTATTTTGTTAATATTACCTGTTTAAAAGGAGAATGTTCTATATCATCCAGATGTATATTTCCCAAGCATTTAGTGTACAGACTGAAATTGGTGTTTGATCCTAGGGTTGGTCAATTTAAACCAGGATTTTCTATGAACCTGACTATATCATGAAAAACTTGATCTTGACTACAGGAGAAATATCCTCAGCACTTTTTTTTTTTTTTTAAGTTGCTAATTTGGGCCCAGTCATACTTCTGGCTTTATTTGGGGTAGGGAGCAGGCAGAGAGAGAACACAAATATTCTTGTGTATTAAGATCTTGATTTATCAACTCACCTATTACAAGGGCAGACGCAAAGGCCACAGCACTTGTTGAGTTCTGTTAAAGTCTTCTCTGCCTCTCTCATGTCTTTATTTATTTGGTCCATGCCTTCTTCTATGCGGTTTAGTTGTTCTAAGAATAAGTTGGGGTGTGTTACATTCACATTGTCCACTGAAAGTGCTATTATTATCCAGCAGCAAACTGTAACCTCAAATCTAACCTGCCACAGTGAATCTATCAATGCTATGCAAAGGATCTTTTGCATTCTGATCCTGAGACACCTGAAATTTGATTGCAGAGTGATTTGTTCTAAAGAAACTTGTATACCATTAGCATGTGAAGGTTGTTCAGAAATCAAATGTACTTTGGTCAGACCAGATTCCAGCATTTCTATCATTTAAGAGGCTCAAAACCTGCTATCACTAAACTAATAAAAGCTAGATGGGATTACTTAGGGCCAGCAAAACTGAATGTTTCTAAATTCATCAGAATTGGACCTGTTTTAGGATTTAACTTGATATCTGAGAACAATGTAGCAATATCATGTCTAATATACATATGACAAACATAAACAATATACCATGCTTGTCTAACATATACTTGGGATACAGTTGGGCACTACTGCCCCTCAAACTAGTAATGAACGTGACATAATTCAAATCAGAAGAAAAAGAGGTAATATCTCTTATCTTATAAAGAAAAGACATTCCTAAAGTTGGAAATTTATAAGTAGCTGATTTCACAGGGATTTTGGCAATTTTAAGTCTTAAGAGTCTCCTCCAATGACTTCAACTTACCCCCTTGTTCATCCAGCATAGTGATGGTCTTGATTCCTGCATCCTGAGACTAAAACGAAGAAGGGAAAATGATAATGCAATAAAACAAACTCAAAATAACAGAGGCAAAACTTGTAAGGACTGACAAATAACAAGAAAGAATCATACAGAAAACCAAGTTTTCAGAGAACTACAATTACAGGAAGAATTAGCTGTCTTAAAGCAGAACATCTATTTACTCCTGAAATTAGTAAGCCACAAACTCATGATGAATTTATCTTCCCTGTCAATATTCCAATACTGTCAAAGGGAAAAATAGAAAATGTTCAGTAGTGTATTTTTTGACAATTTCAGGAATTGCTGGTTTCAAATAACATCAATTCCAGCTAGTGCTATTAGGATCCCTTCCATAAATTTCTTGATGACTAAATATTTCTTACCTCAATGGCTAAACCCAGGATTCTCCTTGTACTTTCCAGAGACTAGGAAAAAAAAATACAGAGAGAATTTCAAAATATGCAAGGAAAAAAAAAATCTGATCACCGGCTGTATTTATGATGCTACCTTATTGTTAAAATTTTCCAGTCCATCCCTCTCCTTACAACAAAGAAAGTAGGTCATTATACTTTATTTCCTTTCTTCTAGGCACTTCTTAAGAAAGAAACTTTAGATTGTGGAGTTAATGGCATTCATAAAATTCATGCAAGTAGGTAGAAATCTGATTATATCAGATATTAAGAAATTGTTATCCAGGTGTAGTGGCACATGGTTTTAACTCCAACACTTGAGAGGCAGAGGCAAGGGGATCTCTGTAAGCTCAAGGCCAGCCTAGTCTACACAGAGAGCTCCTGGCCAGTCAGGGCTGCACGGCAAAACCCTGTCTCACTCCCCCCCGACCCCCGAAAAAAAATTGCTAAATAAAAAGGAAAATCCAGAATTCCTTCCAGAATTACAAGCAGTGAAAGCAGTTGTTAAGAACTACCTTAAAGAGACCAGGAAGAAGTCCAAAGATTTCTAAGAATGTCTCACTTATCCCCTGTGAAAATAGAACTAGGGGACCAGCAAGAAAGCTTTGAAAAGGTAAAGGCACTTGCCACCAAGCCTGACAACCCAAGTTGGATCCCCAACACTGCATGGTGGAAGGAAAGAACCAATTCCCACAAACTGTCCTCTGACTCTATGTGCATGCCACACAAATACCCATACTTTCTCACTAAATAAATAAATGTTTAAAAAAAAAGGAAATAGAATTCCTCATTCTAAATAAAACATTTACTTCATCAGGGGTTTGGTAGGTAAAGGCACTTACCACAAAACCTCACAACTCAAGTTCAACCCCTGAGACCCACATGGTGGAAAAAGAGAACTGACTCCTGCAAGACATCCTCTGAGCTCCACACTAGTACTATGGTACATGCCTCCACTCAAATAAATAAGTTAATTAAAATGTAATAAAAATTGTCCCCTGGAACTGGAGTTAAGGACAGTTCATAGCTGCCTTGTGTGCGCTGGGAATTGAACCCGGGTCCTCTGCAAGACCAGTCAGTGGTCTTAACCACTGACCTATCTCTCCAGCCCCGAGAGCTACAATGTAATAAAAATTAAAGCAAGCAAGCAAACAACAACAAAACAACAACAACAACAAAAACCCATTTACCTCATCAGTAATCTGGTGAGCCTTCAGCTGAATTTCTTCTGGTGACAGATTATCCATGATGAATCAAAACTACCAGTCACAGAAAGGGAAATGTAGATCCTCTAGAAGAAGAAGGACATAGAAAAGTTGAAGCAGAAAGTATAAATTTGGGGGATTTCAGTACTTATGAGGCAAACAGGATAAAAGAGCACTGGTCTCTTTACCTGTCTTTACCACACAAACAATAATTTAAGCTGAAATGAAAAGTGGATGTTTAGCTACTTAGTACAAAAAGTGAACTTGAGTTGGGCATGGTGGTGTACACCTGTAGTCCCAGCACTTAGGAGGAGGCAGGCAGATCTCTGTGAGTTCAAGGCCAGCCTGGTCTACATAGTGAGTTCCAGGCCAGCTACAGGAAAAAGATTAAATAAATAAATAAATAAATAAATAAATAAATAAATAAATAAATATTTAAAAAGTGAACCTAAAACACAGGCAAAGAAGTACTCTTTTCTGACATGTATTCGAGGTTATTTGAAGATGACCTTGAACTTCAGATCCCCTGTTTATATCTCCTGGGATTATAGGCATGCACCACCATGACTGGTTTATGTGGTGCTGGGGATCGAACCCAGGGCTTCGTGCATGCTAGGCAAGCATTCTACTAATTGAGCTATGGCCCCAGTGAAGTACTCTTTTCAATGGGAAAGTGGTCCTTGCTTTGAAAAGCAAGGCACCAATAAAATACAAACCCTGAGAGACTATTAAAATGAATTCATGGGTTGGTAAGATGGTTCAATGGATCAAAGCACTTGCCAGGAAAGCCTGACCACCTGTTTGATCCCCAGCACCAAAGGTAGAAGGAGAAAAACCACTTCCCAAAAGTTGCCCTCTGCCAAGCTGGCTCAGTGTAAAGGTGCTTGTAAAGGGTAAAGGTGCTTGCCATGCAAGCATGGAAACCCGAGTTTGATCTCTGGAACCCACTTAAAGGTGGAAGGAGAGAAACTCCATAAAGTTGTCCTCTGACTTGCATGCTTTTGCACACATACACACATGGGAGCACATGTCATACACACACATAAGAATAAATTTTTTAGGACAGGCGTGGTAGTGCACGCCTTTAATCCCAGCACTCGGGAGGCAGAGGCAGGCAGATCTCTGTGAGTTCAAGGCCAGCCTGGTCTACATAGTGAGTTCTAGGACAGCTGGGGCTACAGGGAGACCCTGTCTCAAAAAGACCAAAAAAGGAATTAATTTTTTAAAATTAAAAACATAAAATGAAAGCTGGACATAGTGGCACATACCTTTAGTCCCAGCACTTGGGAGGCAGAGTCAGGAGGATCTCTGTGAGTTCCAGGCCAGCCTGGACTCCACAGTGAGTTCCAGGCCAGCTGGGGCTACAGAGAGACCCTGTCTCAAAAAG